ACATCACTGTTCACCCAGTTCACCCAGCAAAGAGTGCTACGATGGGGATTAGGACAACGTGGCTTATCACATTTTTATATCACCTTTGATAATKCCCAATAGAGAGTAGATAAGTACAAAAAGCAAACAAACCAACAGTACTGAATCCATGTCACATAACTGAACAGACATAACTGTATCTAGAGTAGGACTACGGAAATTAAAGTGATTAMATCAAGTAATCACTAGTGGTACAGAATTCTTCTGTCATAGATTCAAACTGTCATTTAACGGATGTTCAAACTTTTTGTATGTCATTACTAGACCCCCAGCGCTTGCATTGAAAACTAGGAGATAACAATGCAAATTTACAGTGAAGCTCTCTCTATGGTATAGTCTTTTATCATGGCATGCGCTCATCTTAAGGGACATGGTTCACTTGCATCCCTTTCGAGCTTTTGCTCATGTTTGAAATAAAARYACATCGTAATATAAGCAAAAACGTACTCTTTATTATCCATTTTTATCAAATTATCTATGAAATGCCTATATTTCTCCATTTCGTAAAATTGATATTTTCACTGGTGAAAATAACACATTCGAGGTTTCTCTATATTGCTATATAGTAAAAGTTGGAAAAAATATATTTTACGACATAATTTGCTTTCATATGTAATTATATGATAAACAGAATATTACATCGTTCGCTACGCTCACTCGTGAGAGATCTTTTCTTCAACACTCGAAGATAAAATCCGCATCTCCGCACGCCCATGTAATATCCTCTATATAACCCTAACCCTAAAAGTTTCGTCAACAGCAACAGCAAAAACAAAAACAACAACAACAACAACAACAAACTGGAGCTATATAGCTATGTTTAGTAAAACAAAAATCACTTTTGTAAGCTGGGTTAAATGCAGTTGTTGTCCCGTATTGCATCAGTCTTTACCATGGGTCAATAGATCAAATAAATAATAAGAGTTTTACCAACAATGATTGAGTACGTTTTAACGGGATCAAAGCGGCACAACCTAAATATAAAATAGTTTATTTCGATTCATCCTTTTCGAATTAATGGATATAAAATCGATATACAAATATATAAAAATTGCCGGTGTCATAAATCGTTTTGCAGTGTACAAATGTTTCATTAGAAAAAAAAAAAAACTCTTTTCGTTTCTCATACGCCGATATATTTGTATATCGATTTTATATTGTCATTTTTTTTCATTTTCAACGACGTAACTTCCGTTTTTTTCAAATTTGAACAGGAATCCCGACAAGAGTGAGGATGTAAGGGAGGCTGGCTTTCCCAATCCTTCTATTCGATTACATATAATTCTACCCCAGAGTACTTAAATTGAAGCCATTCCTATTTCCTTATTCTTCTGTTCCCCTTATGAATCATTGCATCATCAGTCACCAGATCTGCTGTTGCACTTGCACACGCTGGAAGAACTGCATGCATTGCCGATGGAGTCACCAGAGTGCACTGCAGCCCCAACACCCCCCCCCCCCCCCCCCCCCCCCCCCCYCCCTGGCTCGAAACATGAAACATTCGATGATAACTCATTTTTTGTCGTTGTAATACACATTTGCAAAAGTTCATGTGACTTTATCACTCTAGGTCTATGATTGTGCCCCAAAGTCAATTTGGCCCCCCCATGTATATGTTCTTGGCCCAGCGAGTCTTAGCAGCGAGTTTTATTTGACAGACAAATCACAGCTCAACTTTGTAAGAGTTAACAAAAAATCAAAAAGCAATGTCAACTATGTTAACTATCTTTCCAAATATTTTCAATCAAAAAAGTTTGTTAATCTAGTGAAGTATTTTATCATTAGCCTTGCAATAAAAGACAAGTCTTGCCGAAAAGGATGATTTTTTTTCTGTCTATACATCTATTTACATTTCAATTAGCTACTGTGTAAACAGGACGTAATGCGATGCTTCTATCAGAAAAACGAAAGAAAAAAATAGACTAGTACAAATAGGCCAAAAAAACATAGTATGTCTCCATTTTTTTTCTGTGGATYAATTATAGGAAAGAAAAAGTCTGCTTCTCAAATCATCTTTATAATCGCCAGTATAGACCATACATATATTAAATCCATTCAAAAATGTCCGACATTCCACGAAGCCATGGAGGTTTTATTGATCGGCAAATTACAGAAGGATTATTCAATATTCTCTTAATTATTTTTATAAGTTTTATAATTTAACCTGGTATGCAGACGCATTGGAACTTTCGTTTGACCCGCAAATCAAGATGATGCTGCTGTTTGTATCTGTCTCTTGTGTGGCCCGAGCTCTGCAGTTTTGCTATTGCATGATAAACACCACATCACATAAAGATATGGTATCGCTTTTCTCTTTGCTATATGGCATCTAAATTAAACCATGATTCGACAATGACTGAGCTAAACGATCAAATGTTCGATTTACCGCTTTGTTAAGCAAGGAGGTTTTATTTCAAATCAGGAATCTTTATGTCACATCGTTCGAATTTCTTAAAGAAAAGGCTACGTTCTTTCAATGGCACAGAAACAATCTGTTCCAGCTGAAGTCATTGACATTTATGAGTGGCCACTCAAGGAAAAGCTTAGCTAACCACTCAGTAGCTTTTAAGGCATTCAATTAGCTGAAAAACCATTCATTGCGATTGAAACTCAATAACAACAACGCCCTACTATGTCATTATTCCTTCTGTTGGCCTCCTATTCTACTTTGAACACCTGCTGATCGGATAGTGTCTATCTCAAGGATAACGCGGAACTACATTCGTTATAAATCATTGACCCTTCAGATACATCTAAACTTAACACTTCTTTGAGCACCAGGTTTATTGATTTTAGAACAATCTATGARAACATAAAAGAAGATTGCAGGGTTGATTTAATAGTCGATATCTACCAAAAACTCCTCTAGAAAATGATATATGTGTTTCAATCGCCCGGTGGTGAAACAGTTTAACAAGGGCCTTACAGGGGGTAGAGAATAACCACGGGTGTTGATATGACTCAGCCATTCATCAAGGATCACGTATTCCAAATTGACTCTAATTGACCAAGCTTGGAGAAAGGACTTYTATATTGATTGGAATTTTGTTGTTTTTAKATGTTAAAAGAATTAGAATTTCAAAGAAAAAGGCTCGGTAAAAGCTCCTGCACGACTTACATGACAGTCTCACGGAATTGATAACTTAAAGAAAACGCTGCTACCGTTGTGTATGCGTTTTGGCTATTACATGAAAAATCGTATCTGAAAACTTCAATGTATTTTTCACACCAATTTTATTATATTAATGTGCAGTATGACCAATAAAAAATCATAACTGTCTTTAAATACCCAGTCTGCGTAAACAGATTATAAGTGCTAGTGGAGTCATTGGCCAAACACCCTCGGCAATATAGAAGAACTATTTTGAGATGGCCGGGAAACATTAACTAAGTTCAACTGATTCTTTCCCGTGTTTTGAAGGGCATTGATGCCCGACTGTTCATCCCGCGCTCATCAATTCSATGTGACTTAATTTCTCAATCAATGAGGCCAAAGTAAAGCAATTATTAAAAGTTACTGCTTTCTATCAGGAATGATAAAGTGGCATAATCCAGTGCTGATGTGTGTCACTCTCTCTATAATCCCACTATGACCCTACGGCCGGTATATCACATCCCGCCAATCTTTCATAGTTCAGTACCTCCGCGAATAATATGTGAAGTGCTGAAATTAGGTAAACACTTCTGCACTACTATCTCCAATATCAAAGGCTCTTTTATGTCAATGGGCTACGAAGGGCTGCCTACCTGCTCGGGAGGAGTCGGGACTGGTCTATCAACTCGCACGTTATCTTTTACTGACAACACATGCATTGAATTGGCGAACTTTGAAATCATTAATTGTTTGAACGGTATTTTGTTCGAATACAAGCAAGTCATTCTACCTACACACAATCTACTCCACAGAGCGCGTTTTAAGACAACATCTTACACTGCAGAAAAAAACAAAACAAAAACACTTACTATGTAACCTAGTTTGCTATTCAACATTGGCACGTTTTATCTTATCTATTTAATAAGCACTTCTAAACTCTTATCTTTACGTTATTATTTACACAATAGGAAATCCACTACAAGTCACACTTTGCCTGAAGCAATTTGATATTAACTCTGCTTTGCAGTTGAAGCTTATGATGTTTGTAAGAAGTTCCGTAGGTTGTTCAAGGAGTTTTCACAATATTTTGAGTGGTTTGTATGAAAGGCTATGGAACTGATGCACTTTAGAAAGAGATCATAACTTTTTATACGATTTGTTTTGTGACACTGAGCAAATAACGCGGCAAAGTTGTACGTGGTCAGTCTTAAACAAAACTCCACACGTCCGTCGTACTTACACTGACTCTCTCAAGTTTTAATGAGTTCCAAAAGCTCGGTTTTTGACTAGAATTCTACCCAGGGCAGAATTAACACTGGATTTAACAGTACTTGTGATATCGTTTAATTATCATGTCTCTTCAACATCTTTGAATGTCTTTCAACGGATGTACCACACAGAAAATTATTATGCTTGCTCCGCATCAAAACACTAAACTAATAAACAGACGAGGCAAGGTCAACTATGCACTACTGATCAAGTTTAGACAACCTGATAAATTAATCATGTGTTATGACGGAGAGAGATACGGAACTTAGCGCAAGACTTATTGTTTTGCTCGGCAAAAATTCATAGGAAGGCCCGCACACATTAATGTACAACAGGGTACAACATCCTGTTTGGTATGAAACATGGCTTGATCAAGTTCAAAAAGGCGCAGATAATCAAAAACTGTAAATTGATATAATTTGCTAACAACGCTTAATTTAGTCTCCAGTCAATTGCAGCAATCAGCCATAAGAAAAAATAAGGGAACAAGTGCTCCAAACAGCTGCCATCGTGAGTTTTAATATCTCGATATTATAAGTTAATGCGTGACATTTATAGTCAAGGGCTCGCATCGGAAATAACACTCCATACACTGTGCTTTGATTTCACACTTCACACTTTATTAAAATATAAAGCTTATCTCTGACACACTAAACGAACTATAATATTCTTGAATCGCAGCCATTTCACTCAAATTCGTAAATAATATGTATAACTCTAGTTAGAATTTCTTCATAAATATTTCGTATAAAACATATGTCTATATACAACAGCTTTTAAAATGAGACAATTAATCCAATTATAATTTCTGTACAACTAATTCATTCTGTCAATAGTTCATAAAATCCACGGTCTCCAAAAACGATTTACTGATGAGTGCTTCTGTGTGGCGTTTTGAGACTCTTCTACTGAATTTGCCGTTGATTGAGCGGTAGAAATTGAGTGAGAGATTCCAGGCGAAAGCGTTGGGGAAACTGGAGGCGACATGCACAGAGGTGACGGTGGGGGAGACGGGTAAACCCACATGGGGCCTACTGGTGACAGAGGGGACCTGTTATCGATAGGAAGTCGTTGGCTCGACGAGACGGGTAGAGACTTCGTAGTGTTTCCCTGACAACACAAGGCGAGATGGTTYATAAGATTTGTACGAAGATTCTCCGATCCTGGTGTGTCGATAAGATTCTTGGTGACTTCTTGAGCACAATGGTTAAATCCCGCTCGGTATTCAGCAATTGTCGCTGCTATTGAGAGAAGAAAAATCCTTCAATTAGACAATTATGTATACCCATACAAGTAGAAGTTAAATTTATAAATCGAATTAAACTAGAAACATATTTTAGTTTATAGACTTTAAAAACTAGAATATCCTATTAAAATTGAATCAAATTAACTTTTTTTAAAATGGTAGTGACACTTCAATAAGCTAACAGCTTCATTCATTGTGCAATTGACCAGGGGAAAATCGATAAAACAACGTACATAAACTTTGAATCCTGTGAGTTTTTTGAAATGAAGTTAAACAACTTGTTGTTTATTAAAAGTAACCTTCTCACTGAAATGACATTAATAAGCTTTTGGAAAATATTTACCTTTCTGTGATTTTTCTTGTTTTCTAATTTCTCTTAAATATTGTACAGACATCTCAAGGATRTCAGCTTTTTCCATCTTAGAATATCTTGCAGCCTAAAATAAAACACAAGCAAAGCCAATTAGATAAGTTCATTGAAGCGCTATGCAAATAAAAGCAATGTTTGCTTTATTCTTTGCTTATAATGTTCGCCTTCACTTACATCTTTATTCAGTGACTCTAGTACCAACGACTTCAGTTCATTYAAACTATCATTAATTCTCGCCCGCCTCATTTTCTCCATAAGAGGTTTCTTTGCCTACAAGCCAAAAGAAAAGAAAARTGAGCACTGAGAGTTTCCCAAACCGAATCAGCTTATTTTACACAAATGCTTCATAAAATCACTTTTAAATTGRCCATAAATAGAGAATAMCCACCTTTCTTCTATCTGTTAAAATCTTGCTACAGTATTCTGAAGTTTGTTCACTGTGAACTGCCATAGTTATTTCCAGAGAAATGTTTTTTTAGTTCATACAATTTAGTATGTTGTTCATACGGCTCCTCGTTGAGCGTGTGGCAGTCGTGTGCCAAGGACTCATTTTATATGCCTTTGACTCGTGGGAAAATTCCTTCAGCCTTGTGTCATTGATCGCAAATATTTGTCCTGACATTTTCTAAAACAATCACGGGAACAGACAAAGACAATAGCAGTGACCTTACAAGAGCCTAGGCCGTGGGAACGCTCTTTTCTGATTGGTCAATAGCGTTTGGTCGCACGACAGGCTCATGACACAATTCGATTAGCTCTGCAGTAGCGCGTGAAGAGCGTGAGACCGGTGTCTTGTGATTGGCTGAAATCTAAGTCCACGTCTGTTCTTAATTACTTAGAAAAAGACAGTATACACAACACCAAAACAAAGAAATATACAAATTGAGTGTCTTGATGAAAAGTTAAGCGAATTACGCGGTGCAGACATGCTTGTACTTAAGTGTTTATTGTCTTTTATGTGTTGCTGGTCCGCTGATGTGTTCAGGCCTGTTTCTTCTGCCAGAAGGAATGTTGTTGGCTCGTGTCATCGACTCGATGACAGCTTTATAATGTTTCCAGCAGTGTATTTAGTGTGTAATTTACACCGATCTATGGAGCCTATTCTAATCATCGAGCTGTGAGGCGCATCGAATGATATGCACGTGTACTCAGGCTGAGATCTTTTGTACTTCCATTGCGGTTGTCCTAGCATTGTCCTCTTCTGAGCTCTAGGCTTTTGTTCCTTTATAACACTTATACTCCACTAAACTCCCAAACATTTCCATAACAATGGTTCACAGAACTTTCCCACGGTCTTCTAATAAAAGATATTTTCCAGCTTGTTGCTGTATATATTCCACAAACAAATCCGATTCGGTTTTCCTTCATGAGTGAACGTGTGTGGTCCTTGATGATCGGTATTCCGCAGTGTATTTCTGACGACCGCCCTGTTTAATAGGTTCTTACATACKCATAAACGCATATATAGTATAAATTAATATGTTTATTTGTTTCAAGTCTCTGAACTCGCCGTACACTTGAGAAACCATTCACTAGAAATCACGGGAGGCCACTGATACCTTGTTCGTCCCGCTGGCCCTGTCCAACATTAGAAGAATGTACACTTGATCAAGAATATAACTTATATGATCAAAATAGAAGATACAATTGTAAGATCACATCATAGAACTGCTCCATTTTTCAAAAGAAAAGTTCTCAGAAGATTTCTTGAGCGCGGACTGGAGATTTCATTTCATGTCATTTAGTTACTTCAAAGGTGTATTAAAAAGCTATTTTTTAGTAATTGTCCATCCTCGGGGAATCTAAACTAAAACAATCCAAACACTTCTAATGTATCCAAAGTACTTCAGATCTATTTTAGAGCTAGCTGAATGACCGACAACTARATCAGTGGTGTCAATCCTTTTACCAAGATGTAAAATAGAACACCGTTTCTTTAGAACCTGAGAAAATCTGGTGAAACGGCTTATCACATCTTTAGCACCTAAAGTGACCATAAGTTTAGCAAGTTCATTCTCAGATTAACTCATTATAAAAAAGAGTAAACTTTACGAACAAAATGTACTAATTTCATAGAAGCCATTGTGCAAAGTTAAGCTGATAAAATGTGGCGAGTGTTTTTGCGTCAAAAAAGCCGCAAGTTTCAATGAGGCACTTTTCAACACCGCACTTTTAAGTCTGTATTCCTTTATCTATGACCCTACAAGAGTTAAATTTGTAGGTACTAATTAACGGTGTTGCTACAAATTCATCCGTCTGTCTAAATTAGTTGTACAATAATTTCAAGTTCAGACGTTGAATCTGAGTATGTCCATCAATTATTGAAGATTCTTGCATAACCAAGCTACAATAAAATGAATTCCTTTGAWTGGAAAGTTTTTAAAATAGCCTAGTGCTCTATTTTAGTAAACTATTACCAAATGTTTGGCATTGAAATTCAAAAATGACTAAAAAAAGCTATGATTTAAACCCTCTCATCGCATACCAGTAAAGTTAACGGATTACGTCATCCGGTACGCTTTCACATTAAAAATKTACAATGTGATTTGGCTTTTACCAAAGAATTTTAACTTTGTTTTCTTTTTCAAAAGAAACCAAACACAGCACTTTTCAAGTAAATCATATAATATCTTTTCTTTCACTTCACGAGCCCCATGTAACAATTTTATACCAGTTACAAAAATAAGCCTTGTTAATTCTTCTTTACAGTACGCAATGCCTTTTATGGAATCGCCCAACCGGGATTGTGGAAACTAGCGGTAAACTAGTGTGAGATTTGTCGGTGTTTCTAAAGAAACAGTCAAACTAATTCAAAGATAAATTTTAATCCCGCTTCCATACTTTTTTACGGTGTTAGAATATATCTTTTAGTGAAGAACCCCTCAACAGGAGCATTGATCACAAGCGAAATTATAATTCAGAAGATTTCGGTATTATGCAGCGTTTGCTAACTTAAACGTGKGAATGGCATTCGAGAGGATTTGGTGGGGCCGGGCAGCCAAACTTAGTCAGTTATGATTATTATTAATTGAACATGGAATCAATTGTATGATACTAAAYCAGTTTAAAATAATCAAATCACTCTCTATTTATCACCAGTATATCCAGAAACTTTTTTAATTAGAAAAGAAACTAGTTAGCTATAGTTAGATGTGAATTTAGGAAAGTAAACTGAATAACTGATCTAAAGGGGAGCTTGCGATGGACATCACAATGAAGATGTTAAAAAACCCTGGCTTCTTGCGCCGACCGATTTCAGTCTTTCATTCTAGCAATTTTTCGCATGTACCTATAAACGTACTATGTCTACTCAGTATTTAAGTCATATGATCAGGACCCGCATTTTTGGCAAAAAATAAATAATTCAGGATAGATGCCACACATAAGGCGTGACAGATGCCTAGATAGGAGGGAGGGTTAGGTGCGTGACATAGAGCTGAAATACTTCGAAGGGTGGGGTGCGAGTCAGTATGCAAACGTCACCTCTCGATCCTCCTCTGAACTGAATGAAAGACAATTTCTATGTATCACAACAATCAATAAGGAATATTGATCTGACAAGATGTATTCTCTACAGTAGAGAATTTAGATTTTTTTTAATTTTTTTTAGATTTTTTAACACTTAAAAGTGTTTGACTGAGTATGRCACAAAAGACCGGACCATATTTGTTTGAACGCAGAACACAACTCCTCCTAGCATTGCATTCGCCCATAAGAAAGAGTCCACATGGTATATCATGTATKGATACATTAGGAGAAGGAAAATTAGTTTGGAATGATCTTTATCTAAGCGTATTTAGAATTGTCTATTTTTGAGGCAAGTGCATAAGCTGCTATAAAAGAAAAATCGATTCAGTAAGTTAACGTTAAGTTCTCTCCAATTAAGGCTACGCATAATCAAGCGTTTTTTTAAAAATTCCAATGTGATATATATATTTCAGCGCACTGCACTTGAAATAAACAGAACTGATCGATTATAACTAAGTCCGGGCTACATCTATCGAGTGGGAATACTTCTAAGTTTCACTTAAGAAATTCATAAGTAATTGCGTTTCCAGAGTATATTTTCTATTATAGAAACCTGACAAACAGACAGTCGCCAGCTTGGTGTAGCGTCTTTTTGTAATTGATTTTCAGTCACACTTCACAGAGGAATTAATCTCCATAAGGATCGCCAAAAAGACAAAAAACAAAAAAACAACAACAAAAACAACAACAACAACAACAACAAAAACAACAAAAAATAACAACAACACAACACATAACAGAAAGTTGCCTTGTATATCCTTGTAAAGAGCCGTTTAGTTCACAAGTTAATTTTTTAACGTAATTCACTCTGTATTAAAATGACCGCGCCGTTAAGTCACAGCAAAAATCGCCAGTTTAAACGGGCTTCACAGATATATTAACCCCTAACAGACAATAGAAGACACTATTTATTTTGAGCTGAAGGTTTTAACAGGTCGCAGACATGGCAATGGATGATCAAAGAAGTATAAGACGTCCCAGCCATAATGCTAAACAATAGTTTTGTTGAATTGGTGAAGACATTGTGAGCTTTTCATAAGAATGGCAATAGTTACTCGCTAATGCTATTATGTTTGCATTTGGGGACATAAGGCGTGGTTCTTTTCAAATGTTAAAAAAGGTCCGAAATAACATGTTCTGACAGGACAAAAAACTACAAAATCCTACTTTAGTGAGTATCTCTTTTTTTTACAAGATGGCGTTCAATTGTGAAGAGACCTTCCGTGAAGTAAATGATGTTTAACAAGGCAAATATCTAATTTAGTACAAGTGACTTTTTGAGGGAGGGTTTCTAATTAATAACGCCGGGGAAAAACATGATGAACTGCCGGTTGTTTGTCGTGTCACAGAATATAGGACGCTGATGTAAGAACATGCCTAAGAAAGGTCAGTTGAATTGTGATTGAATTGAAAACTTTCGTGAAAAAATTGATGCTTAACAAGACAAATATCTAGTTTGGTACAAGTGTCTTGTTGACGGAGGGTTTCTGACTAATTACGGCAAAAGACACCCTGATGGACTGTCGGTGTTTTGTCGCGTAAAATATAGGACGCTGATCCGTGAGAACACGCCTTAGATACTCTCAGTTTTTAGGCTTAGACTTTGTCGAGTTTACTAGCTCCACTTACAAACTTTATTTYAACATAACACTCAATACTTTAATGCTTATACTGCTATAGTAAAATGCCTATCCTCGAACGTGTGCTTAAATGCATGGTGAAGTAAAACAAAGTTCGATCGTCGACCACTGAAAGCGCGTGTAAGCACGAATGTAAATTCTAAACATTGATGCATTAACAAATGATTCCTTCGCTTAATTTGGCCTTGTGCCATTCAAATATACATGCCACCAAGGGAACGGAGGTGGGGTCCTGGAATCGACCTAACCAACCACCAGTTCGCTTAGTCCCCTTAACCATGCACCTTAAGTTAAGAACGTGATTGACGTCATGATCTTTTCCGGAGTTTTAGAAAGCGGCTACTAATAATAAAAGCTCAGAAGCTCAAAAAAATGTTTTTAACAACCTTTGTATTTCATAACTTCAAAAAATCCAATTATTAAGTTAATGAGTAGGGCGAGGACAATCAAAGCATGCAAAACCAATGCATAATCACAAATTGACAATTAAAAATCTATTAATACCTTTTGATGGTTTGCTTTCGCAGATTCCTCAGACCTTTCCAAGAATAATTTTTTAAGGTTTTTTTTGTATACCTATCTTTGTGATCATGACCTCTAACATTTTTTATACATTTTAACCAGGTTTTGACAATATTGACAGTAATTAGCAAACAGGCCAGTTGACTCGATTCAGCAGCAGCTGCCGGTTACCTCGTGGCCAAGACGATGGCCAATACACGCGTAAATGCATGTGCAAGAGATTTGTTTATCACCATCTAATCGGTATAATAATAACGAGCAATACTATATACATCGACTAAATTAACATCGCCTGTTACTGAATCTTTATTGGTCTTGATTAGACGTACCTAATTTGTGTAATTGTTATAGATTTRTGCACAAGAAAAAGACTTTACAGATAATTGACATATTGTACAACGTGAAAAAGCGGTGTTCATCTTACAGGCTTACCGTACTCAGATACTATTTTCACCTGATGGTCCGACACTGATATTATTATACATATATAATATATAAACCTGAGTCTGTCAGTTCATTCCTGATKTATTGATATACGTTTTCCATGAAGTTTATGTATAGCTCTAGCCCAAAGAACTTACAAGGAATATACAATGATTGCAAAGATTTCAATCCTGTCAAAAGACAAACACTCAGGATTGCATTAGCCCACGTGTAAGCCTATCTCAAGTGTGCATTCAACCGGTGTTCATGCATGCATATCAGTGCAAATGTGCACGAGCAAGTTGCTGATTCAATACTGAATCTACTGAAATTGTCCTTTCTATGAGAGTTTACCAAGAGAAAACAGAGTAACTCATTTTCTTTAGGCAAAACTGGCATTCAAATCATATTTACCACTTATATGACTCTCTTGCGCAAATTTGTTGTCTTTAGCTTAGGCCTAAAAGTACCTTTGAAATATATTGCTTTATTCTGTAACAGAAATGTTATCTAATGTTGGGGTTTAAATTGAAAGGAGACAGCGTATACCGTTCCCATGAAGTTTGTATATGTCCTTATCCATTGTCAGAAATTATTTTCAACAACATTTTTCCCTTAGTGAAACAAAAGTGTAAAAACAAAAGAATACAATGTGTAAATCCACTATGTGAGCAATTGAAAATTTCGTTGTGGAATTTGCGCCGCGTTAGTTCTTAAGAACTGAAATAATCTCTAAATCTTTGTCTAACAGGGTCAAGTTCTTTTAGTTCTTGTCTGAATCTTGTAGGTATGACGCCTAAAGAAATACCAAACCAATTGCGCAAATTAGGAAAACGTACCGCGAAGATTACATGGACAATGAACATTCTTTGTTTGAAAACATTAGTTGTTTATTTACAATTTGGAATATACATTCGGCAAAATAGTTTATCCTAACAAATATATACAAATAAAAAATAGTATTTTCTTATCGTTATGTTACGCTTATTTTCTGACCAAATAATACATATCCTTTATTAAATTTCAAATAAGAACACATGTTCTTTTTTTGCTATTTTACATGCATTTATAAAATTTACAGGAAAAAATGCACATTCAGAGCTGCATTTGTGAAAAAGCGTGCTATTGAATATTTGTTTGTGAGTTGCAAATGCGCTTCAGGAACTAATACACGTGGAATACAATTTATTGCCTCTTTGCAGTCAAAACAAGGGACGAGTTGCTTCATGTCAGTCTATATGCATAGCCTGCGATGCATGTTCAAGGTCATTGCAATGCCCTAAACCACGTTTTCGTTCCACTTTCGTGATCGAAAACACTCGAGTCAATTTTACCAAATGCATGGTCTCCAATTGAAAGAATCACTAAAAACAGAATGCGGATTTTGCCATGATAACGGCAGTAGCTGAACACCTTCATTAGGGACAAGTAGAGCCGGCATACCATTACTAAGAAACACTTTGGACGGTCCTGTGAGTCTCATTAAGCCACCATCCTGTTGTGGAGAAGATGGGGGCGATGGTAAAGTTGACGAGAAACTCATTTCCGTGGTTGGTTTTGCGGTTGGAATCGGAAAAGTAGAAACGGTTTGGTTTAGTTTTGTTGGTAATCTGAGCATTTGAGGCGAGTAAGCCACACCGTTGGCGCGTGGCCCTGTCCATTTCATAGGCTGTGCCTGCGAAGAGTAGTAGGATGACAGATGAGATAGTAGATGAGCTCTCAGTTCATCGGATACGTTATCTAATGACATAAGATAACGGGCCACTTCTGCTGCACATTCGTTAAATCCTGCTCGGTAATTGGCCATCGTTAACGAGTCTGAAACGAAATACCACCAATACAGTTTTAGACGTACAGAACGTCTATTGATTTTTGATGATTATAACAGAACAATATTTAAATTCTTTAAGCTTTAGAAAAAATGTACAGGAAAATAAATCAATTAGAGAGAAAGTAGCTAAATTGTCCCAGCTGTTTCTTTGTTGATACTATTGGGGGGAATTAGGAGTGAACTAGCCATTAATTTTGGCGATTAACTCTTGCATTGCATCAATGGTAACATGACCCCGGTGTACCTTCAGGAATTTGCAAACACGAAATCGTCTGGCTACTTTACATTTCCGATTGATTTGAACTTTTCTAAATACACCCTTAAATCGCTTTTCACTATTAAGAAATGAACATTCAAACAAGAAGAAACGTGCAAAAACTTAAAGAAATTTGCCAAGCCAAGTTTTTTTACTCGATCCATGTTTAAAAGAGGTGTATACTCCAAAATTGTTATAATGGTTTTAAATTTTTATAAACTTGTCTATGAGTTTTCTGATAGCCAATTATACGACTATTATCATTCATTTTTGTTGCTTCGAAATGGATTATCAATCAATAGTGAGGACTAAGTCGCTCTTAGTGGTAAGCAAACAARAAATTTCAACAGAGACAACTGTTGTTTGGTTCATTAACGCCATTGAAGTCTTGAAGTCATGGTGATGACGTGGGAGTGAAAGCGACAAGAATGTACTTGAGGGTTATTTGTATATCCCGAAAACTACAGTGTGTATGTTAGGAAAGACTTAAAAATTCAACGAAACTTACCCGAAGCCGTTTTAGAGTGTTTATCGCGACTTTCTCTTAGGTATTTTACAGTCATTTCGAGTATATCGGCTTTCTCCATTTTTGAATACCTTGAAACCTTGAAAGTAAAGGCGAACAGTGAGAAAACTGAACAGATTTACAGAGAAATAGATCTCCAATAACTTACATCTTTCTTCATAGCGTCTAAAACGAGAGATTTAAGCTCATTAAGACTTTCGTTGATTCTTGCTCTTCTTAACTTTTCCATTTGGGGCTTTTTAGCCTATAGAAGAAATACATTGTATTTTTCATTCGCCTCCAAAAAATCAACTCAATTTGCCAGATAGTAAAAAAATATAAGAAATATCAACGAGTTTTTTATATTCGTGAGAATATTCCAACGAATTCCAACATGAAATTCATCCCTTACCTTTTTGGAATCCATTTTAAGACTTTCTTTCGTAGGGGACATATTTTTCAGTAATTCAGTATTCATTTCTGGCGTAAAATGTACAATTTTTGACAAGGCCGCTTCAAGAAGAAATWAAATCGTGTGTTATGCCTATGGAAGTACTACACCAACCGGTTACGACACGCTTGCACACGGGCTTGACTAACCCGAGTCGTGTGCCAATTGAATCTTTTTATAGTACGCACCGTGGGAAAACCCCTCGGTCGTGTGTCAACGCTTGGAGTTATTTACAAACACCTATTATCATTCAGGCACTTCAACCGTCCACAGAAAATACTCTCATCTARGACCGTGGGAATGGTCTACGCTGATTGGCTAAGAGCTTCAAAGGTCGGAGGGTCGAGTGATTATGACAGAGTTTTTATCGTCAGTGGTTAGAAAGGGTCGTGAGAACAGTTAACAGTGATTGGTTGATTGAGCTTTGCGGAGAGCTGTACTTAATTAGTCGTGAGTCCACAACCGTCTATAATGATCATGTAAAATGCCTCGCGACCAACCGCGCATTCAAAAGTTCAAAACCCCATTTTGTTTATATATTTATTGGAAACACACTGAAAATTAGTCGCTTGTTATGTCATAAATTGCGCTAAATTATATTGACACAGATATAGCCCCAGTTAAACACAGAAGATTTCAGAACAGCATGCTCTATCCCTTAGCTATACATCATAACTACACATTGTTTCAGTATTGTCATTAGCTTTAAGAAGCATTGTTTAACTGCTACGAGATGGGGTTTTGAATACAGAATAAAACCAAACGAAGATTTCGCTTGGATTAAGTCCGACGATATATTCCCACGGTGGATCGGATGGACTACGGTAACCCCTTGAGGAAAAGTGCCGAGGTGTTGATTGTGACTTGAAAGGTAAAAGATATCGTCGATGATAGACGGCAATCAACACCTTCTTGGCATCTCTTTCACACAAATGGAGGCGCTGCCATTGAGATCACTTCTTAGCTCACTAGGTCTCCGAGGCTTTTCAATTTTGTGACCATCTCCTCGGAGCCTGAAATACATGTATGGTCCAAGCTTTATGTATGTTTATCTTTGTAGCCTTCCCCTTTTATATAAAAGAAATAATCCATTAAAATGACTGAAAAGCTAAGATATCGACGACAAGGTGACTTATATCCTTTTTGATACGGAAATATAGAATATTCTCGTCTGAGTCGCTAAGCTCGGGTGGTCATAGATCATTTGCTCGAAATCGAGGCCTGCCTCGACACATTCCAACACACTGAAGAGCCACACAAATCACGATAGGGATCTCGTGATTGAAACTATTATGAAAGGTGTAGTCCTCAGATAAGATTTAACTCAAGGAATTTGCTCTATAATTTAAAGCATTTGCCACTGAAAGTACTACAAATTGTAAACATAACCGGCATGGAACCTTGAAATAAGTTTTTTTTTCCTTTGATAAAAGTCATCCGCWTTGTTTAGTCTTATCTGTCCCAAAAATTTGCATTTCGGAAGGAGCAGTAATAAATATCTTTGATATATTCACGTTGTTATACCTAAATATGTAGAATTACTGTTTTGATCGGTTATGTCAGTCCGTGTGGGCGATACGCTATAATGCTCTTGCAACATGTTGCCCTTAGCAACGCATATTATGTTAAAGCAGGCTCAAAATCTCGATCCGGCGACTTTTGATGAGAAAACGGATACTTCCGAAACGATTGTTTAAAATTATCAAGCTTTTCATTCTTGAATATTTTGCATTTACATTTAGCAGGTACAGATAGAGCAAAGGAAAGGTTTTTAGAAACTGAGTTAATGTTATAAATTTCAAAATTCGTTGTTATTGTTGAAAAAGAAAGCCCAGAAATGCACCATTCAAAATATCCAAGTTCTCAGAAAAATAAATATCGAAAATATTGCAAAAATTACGACCCCAATGGCCAAGTCGTTCTTTTTGAACAAATGCACGGACGACCGACGGCAATTGAAAAGCAGATGAGATAAGTTACATCGAGAATGTCGTGACTTTGGCATGCCTTTGCATTTTGTCTACTCAGCTCATCGTTCCACCGACAAAGGTCATACATTTTCCCGTCTTTTCGACTATAAGGGCAGCAGACTGCAAGGTATGAAAGCCTTATAAGAGCTGCTCTTCAGGTCGTTATCCTATCTCATTACGAACTGACTTCTCAAGTGAAATGGGATTTGAGGTTTTCCGGAAAGTCTTTAACCCACTCTTACCGTAAAAGGTCTAAAGGAAACTGCCAAAAGTGGAGAGATTAACTTTTTCAGTGTGTGTTGCGTCTGCGCCGGTGTCCATTTGGAGACGATGGCAGGTTAAACACACCAACATAAACGCTCCAAATATTKGTACATATATGGAATGAAAGAGACACGGAAGGATACGATTAAAGAAAGAAGGCAGCTTTCTATGTCTACCTTACTGACAAAAAATGGCAATACTTTAGCTAGGGGTGATTCCTACTAATAGTAGTAGATATAAAACTACAGCAATAAACTAACTATAAAGCAAACAATAAGAAAATAACCTAACAAAACTGAATGCCGAAACGCATTCCTTCACGTCTGAGTGGAACACACCAAAGGAGGTTGTATAGTGCCACAAATGAGTCCTTCTCTCCCCAGATAGGACTGTTTTTCCGTGCTGAGACGTCCTACTCATCTTTTGTAAAGTGGCGGCAGTGAAGTGGGACTCACAATTTTCAATTTCAGTGTCGGTAATGAAAGTACTAACAAAATTATAGCTGTAAAATACTATTTGTCCATACWATAGATATAACGACAGTAATATCGAGGTGCCTGTACGCTGTCTCAAACTGAGACAGTATAGCAGAGCAGTATTCATAAACGAGGTCTATTCGGAGTTTGGAATCGGTCCTTGTTGATCCCTGTTGTTTCGTTGTTTCATCCACGAACATTGAGCCCACATTATGAAATCTTTGATCCCTAATCCTTGCCTTTGTAATCCCGCTTCCCGAGAACATTGATCCCGATTTCAAACTCATTTGTTCTCTGAGTGAGCAAAATAAATGTAAGGCAAAAATAACAGTGTGCTGATTCAGTCCATATCTCGCCAACCGGCTAATATTGAATATAGATCACTGCACTGTTTTTCATATTCAGTATTGTAGAGCTGTCCGGTGTATAGAGGTGATCACAATGCACAGAGTAGTTTGTGATATGAAACTAAAGTCAGTTAGTTAGTCGCTATAAAAACTGATTGTGTTRAACGCGGGGTTCCTGTGGAACAAACCGATGCACACCACTAGGTAAGACCACACAGGACATCAAATAAATATCAAAATATCGCTATAGATAAAAGATTGTTATTAGTTTAATTACCAGACATCGGAACAATTGTAATTGTAAACATAGGAATAATTGTAATTTTGAGGTAGAAAGTATAGCCACCTACTTACAAATCGTAACTAATAAAACTTTATATACTATTAAAACTACGATAAACTTTAGGAATGATAAAATGCTGAATTGCACAAAATTAAACGAATTCCTTGTTTGTTCATTTTCTAAAAGGGTATTGCTAAATCCCCGGCTATAGTGTGTTAATTCCCCGGCCCTTCCCGGGGATTTTGGAGACGGGGTCTTAATTGAATGATGCATTAACGTGTGATGTTTTTAATAATTTCGAGTTTGGGTTATCTAAACGTTAACGTTCCGGAAGCAAGGAAACTTGCATACATCCTGTTCATTTTCGTAGCTAATCGATTATTTCACCTCATTGTTCCTTTAATTCAAATCTTGTGTTGATACGCAGTCTGCGCGTCTCCTACTCAGGCTGACCAAAGATTGATTTATCGCACACGATCAGTGATAAATGTTTACCGGATATCACCATTGTGAGTATAGCACGAGGTGTGAAAAAGGTGCCAGGTCTTTCACACTGTTTCCAACTGTACGTGTGGCCCACGCCTGCTAAATCACACTGGATGTCGATCGTAGACTCCACGGCTTGAGCTAATAGGCGAGGGGCTCAAATGTGCAAAACCACATCAAGATTGCTGTTGTCGTTGCTGTACGAGGAATTGCGCAAAGTATGGACATGGATTACCAAAGTGTTATGGACTTCCTAGCGTCGTCCCAATTCTTATAAGCTTCTGTCTTTCACACTGTATTTCAACTGTACGTGTGTGGCCTAAGCTTGCGAAATCACACTACGTACTCCAGCTTGAGTAGTACAGCTTGAGCTAATAGACGAGGGCTTCAAATACGCAAAACCACATCAAGAYTGATAATTTTATCAATCTTGCTGTTGTCGTCGCTTTACGAGGAATTGCACAGAGAATTGATGGGATCGGAATTACCTAAATGTCATGGGCTTCCTAGCGTCGTCCCAATTATTAAGCTTCGGTCTTCCTGTGTTTCTCGTTCCCTGCAGAAAAATGAGACTCTCCAGTTAATCTCAGATTTGGGAATCATGTGTCATTTGTAATAAAAGTATGAATTCTATAGATGCTCACTTCTAGAGCGATGAAAATTCAACCACATTGTATTATAACACAAGTCTGTCTGTAAAACGCAAAACTGATCATTTAAGAGTCTGATACAGAGTTACTTGAAAGTTTTGCGGAAATATTCAATGAAAGTTTATCTAAAGCTATTTTTATATTCCTGGCAATGAAATTTCTCTTGATTTCACCACTAACTGCGCCGGCTTTTCTCATACAAAACTTGACTCATTCAAATGCACCGCGCTTTAYCATGCTTGAAATGCACTCCTACATTGTTCTGTATCAAGAGCCTAGTACAGCATCAAATGAACTGGTCAGATCGAGAGGAGCTTACGTATTTAWAAATTAACGAAAAACAAGAAAAAAAGCTGGCAAGTGTCCTCACCACAACATATCAAAAACACATTAAAGTGCTTGCGGAATGAGAGGCGAAAAAACGTTTTAAAAAGTACTTGCACTTGATAACATTTAGAAGCATCACGAGACGATTTTCATCAAAACTACATGACGCAGTTTTACTCTGAGCCGCGTGCTGCCTTTCTTTCATCGACGCTAAATTAAATTTGTAATTTTGGACTGATTAAAAAAAGGTAAAAGTTCATTTCTTGCTCTTTTATATCAATTTCTTTATGATAACAAAAAAGTAATTCTTGTCTATTGAGTGAGGTGTGAAATCAAATGAGAAAGCGGCGGTACTTTTAAACTACTTAAGAAGAGCTCGATGATATGAATCGATCACGAGATTTAGCAGGTCTCGTGTTTAAAGACGATTTAGTAAAAACGCTAATGATCTTTACTTTGCATTACTTAATTTCAGTGATGCACTTTTTAGAGTACAAATGTCAAATTCAAAAAGCCATCGTCAGAAGGCACACATTGATGTAATTAAACACATTTTTTTTATTCTTGGACTAAACTTAATTGGCCTTTTACCTTAAACAAAAGCAAAGACATGATTACACGTGTCTTGTCATGGGAAGAGCTGGATTCATCACGTGACTCTCTCAATGAAGTTCTTGGCGCGCTGTTTGAAACTCGTGGCGTTACATCATCGGATGTGCGRGCGTCCCATATGTGTTCAGATACCCTTGCATAACCTTTATTAGAAAAGAAGAAGCATGGAGTAAGCTTTGAAAGATGCTTCATTTAGTCACGTGAATCACTTTTGGCGGGAAATTTGATATTCCATGTGGCTTTGCTCATTAGGTTGATTAGTTGCAAAGAATAAGATCATGAATTGGTTATGTTTACAAAGTAAACAAAAAATGCTAACGATAGCATCTCAGTGTGGATAAATAAACCATCAATTTGATAAAAAAAGTTGGGTTTCTTTAATTTTTGTTGGTCGTATCAGTGTCTTTCACTGCTGTGTTCTATCGAGAATACTGACCSATTGCGCAAAAAAAAATCTCGTTTCATGATACAGTGTTTTCGTATTGTTCATCAACAGGTGCTCTCGTTAACTAAGGTGTTTACCATTCGTTTGTCATTCAATGGAAAATATGTTTCCGTAGAATAGGCAAGGAATGATATAAGTCCCAATGACATAAAAAGGTTAACGAACAACGATCAAACTTCATTGTGACTAATACACGAGGTTAAGGACAGCGCTTGGCGATGTATAAGACAAACCAAATAGAAGACACCAACGCAAAAAAGCATTGGCAGAAGGTTTAAAAAAGTTTACAATATTTAAGCTTTAGACTTAAGTATAATATTTTCGCACTGAATTGCACTATTGAACAAACTTGGCATGAGATAAAAAATATATCCGAGGATTCAGTAGTACATGTCCCTCATGAAGATGGTTTCAAAAAAATGAAAGATATCCTGCTGGGGCTACAGCTGGAAACTTCTTGGAATTCATTCTTGGTAATCAAAACTGAATATGGACCTCATTTTTCCATTAATAGGAGAGCAAGTCCAACGCTGAGCGGATGAGAAGAAACAGGATCAATGGATTCCTTGAAGAACTAAAAGTCGCCATATTGGGATCGTCTTTTCAAAATGTAAGTTAAATGACCATTTTTTGATTTAGTGAATGTTTGAGTTTTTGAACTCTTTAATTTTAGATCTAGTGAGTATTTGTTTTATAGTTTTATGAGATTGTAGTATACGTTTGTGATTTTGCTATCATATGTTCCTCTGTAATTTTGTTTTTATTAAATCTTTATAAGGCAATCAAGAAGTGTTGCTGCAATATAAACGTCAGCTTAAGACGCGTGGCCAATAGTCGCTATATATTAAAATGATACAAAAAAATACTCATTTTAATTTTTCATGTTTAATCATCATATTAACATGAGTTAAAGTTCTTCATAGCACAAAAGGTTGAAAATACGAACGTCAGTGAAGCCTGATCCGACTCAAAAGTTCTAACAACTTTTGTCTACTGTTCTTTCAAATTTTCTTTGTCATTGTGGAACAAGCTGAAATCTTGGAGCTCACTGTTGAATACGTAAAGTTCATAAAACAACAGAAATTCGCATTTAAAAACGAAGGTAGGCACTTGAATGTTTGAACGAAGTCATGCCAATTAAATCTTCATCTTCAAGGTTCTAGAGTCATTCCGTGCGTACCCTTTGTATTTTTGACTATACGAACACAATCTACATTTGTTATAGTTATTGTTCTTTGATTCTAGAGCATGTAGAGCCATTATGTAAGACCATACGATACCATACACCTTGCGAAGAAAGCCATCTTAGCGAAAAAAAGAGAAAAAGACCTTATCTCTCAACTGGGAGATTGCGGCACGGAAATGACGTCATGGTTAAGACTCATCGTCGAAAAATGAAGGGAAAAAGACTGGAGTTCTCGCGGGGGTCATTTGAGGATACTTCTCTTGGTTCTTCACTTCCAAAGTCTTCACTTGGTGGCACTGATGCTATGATTCTTAGACAGCCTCTGAGTAATCTAAGTAACATTACAAACGATTTTAACGACACTAAGAAGAAGGGATTGACTTTCTGGAGGCCCTGGCAATCAGGCAAAGATTGAACAACTTTAGCAATTAGCTCATTAGTAATTGTAGTTCAGAGTTATAGGTTTCAGTTTATAACTTAACTTTTAGTGATATTCACATTGAAGTAAAAAATCACACATTATAAAAGATGGCCTAGTAAATTTTCAGTGTACTTTCAAGACTCGTGGCAATGAATTGCACCATTTCAGTTTAATCTATCGAGCACTGTCAACTGATAAACAGTTACAAAATTCTATAAATTTGTTTTTAAATTATATGTATATATCGTATTTCAAAGTTTATTTTATCACAATTATTCATATGCCTATAAAAAGAGTTGAGTGTTTGGTATCATCTGATTTAGAATAAAAAATATATTTTGATTTAAAAGAAAACTATCGTAAGGATGATTATTTCAGAATGTGTTATCTGTAGAAATGTTTAAATATGTATACTTCATAAAAACCGCTGTATTCTGAGTCATACATAAAAACTGATTGGGCTAGCACTTTTTAAATAATGGATTTTAGTTCTGATGCATTTTCTTATGTTGTATAACGGAAGGGTGTGAATTCCCTCTAAAGAAACCACGTGTAATTTAACGTCATTTCAAAGTTAATCACTCCCGCAGTCATTGCGTAAATATTGAAGCTGTTTTCTTTTCGAAAGAATTGTCTAATAAACAAAAAAACTTTGCCATTATCGTCTCTAGAAGTCTACTGGTACCGGTTTAAGGGTTGATGGGGTGTATAATGACCATGCACTTTTTTTCGCGGAAGAAACAGATATTTATATGAAGATGGGATGGTTTTGTTCCAATGGTCCCAATGTTTRAAAGATTTATACGTGAAATTGAATCAAATGGTCATATTCCATTCTTTAAATSGAGGGATTCTAGTACAAATGAAATAAAGAAGGGCAGTTTAATCGGAAAATTAAACTTAAGTGGTATGTTTATTAGTATTGAACTAAAAGTTTATTTTATGGATAATGGATTATGTCAGTATCAGTTGGGAGAGTTTGCTATTAATGTTCTCTTGAGATGTCAAAGTTACTCTGGGATCACTTTAATCTAAGAATCTACTAGCCATATGGCTTGAAAGTTCTAATATTACTTCTCAAACTCAACACCCTCTGCGATAAAGTTTTTTTTTTCCACTTTCATCAATAATTCATCAAGAGGTGATAATAATTGCCACGTGTTTGACAAGAAACGCAAGAAAAATGACCTTGTCAGCCATTTTTCAGAGCTACGCGATGAAGCTAATAATACCGTTTTGCTGATGCCGTGGTTTCTTAATACACACAAAAAAACATGTCCTTTATGAAAAGAAAAAGATATTGCGCCGCGAACAAAACTGACAGAAAACTATGTTTTTTTGTTTTTTGTTTGCAGAAAATTGAAGCGCATGTTTCTAATGATCACCATTTAAATTACCTAGAAATGAAGATCTAGCTATGAAAACAAGCTATAAACAAGTAATAAGAGTTATTGAAGTGCAATTGGCAAGGTTTAAAACTAACTTATCCCGAATGATTAAGAGAACATACTCTTAAAAGAATTACACAAAACGGCTTTAAAAAAATATTTCACACGGTGCATCGATTGAAAGCTGAACATATTAAATAACACAGTAATCGGACTTGCTTACAATCAAATAAACCAATTTGTCATGTGAAATGCTTTATTGTCTTTTAAAGCACTGCCAGGCAGTCATTTATAATAAGCTCTTATTATAACATCTGTATTTCGGTAAGAAAAACATATAATGCAATATATATCATATTATTTACAATTGTACAAAACTCATTTAAAAAAATTGCAATTTACAATTCATTGTGTCTTAGTCTTTCAAAAAAATAATTCCAATTTAAACTCTTCTTATTAAACAGATAGTGAAATTACCAAGGTCGCCAGAGCGCAGGTTTTTTAGTAGAAGCCGTTGCTTTAACTGTGCTTTCACACGGTGAGTTTAGCTTCGTTTGTGGACTGACTAGTTGAACTGGACTCACAGGTGAAATTGGAGGAATTGGCTCGCGTTGAATGGCTACAGGTCCTTGTAAATATAGAGCGTTCTGAGAGGTCGGGGAAGGTGGAGGAGATGGGTATGGAACCCAGACAGTCGGCGTTCCAGCAGAGTTGGCGGGAAAACTTGCGTGCGGAAAAGTTGAGCTGGGGTGGTTGCTATGACAACTCGAGGCCAAATGTGACATCAGTTTTTCTCTAACGTGGTCAGAATTTGGTGAAGAACTGAGATTTTTGGAGACTTCGTTCGCACATTGATTAAATCCTGCTCTGAATTCAGCCAAGGATTTCATATCTGCAAAAGAAATATAAAAATATGATGAGTTATATTTCAAAATTGTCATAGAATTATAACAAGATAAAAATAAAAATAAAATTTTGCAACGTGATTTATCGAAAATGTTGAGCACATTTGAAGTAAACCAGAGAATATTTCAACGTAATTAAAGTCAATGTTAACGATAATTACCTTGAAGTCTAGAGTCCGATCTATGTGTCGCTCTCAAATAACTGACAGTCATTTCCAAAATATCTGCTTTTTCCATTTTTGAGTATCTGCTAGCCTGAAAACAAATACAAATTCAACATTAATTGCTAATCTTAATCTGTAATTTCAAACCATAATTATGCAGTATTTATGTCGAGGTATTAGAGTCGATTAAAAAATGTCTCGAGTTTCGATAAAATATATAAAATCGTACTTACATCTTTATTTAAAAGGTCTAAAACCAAAGTCTTGAGCTCATTTAAACTGTCGTTGATTCGAGCTCTTCGCATTTTTTCCATCAAAGGCTTCTTTGCCTGCGAAAAAGAAGAAAATTTTTATTTAGCAAACACATTATAAACTCAAATGTTGAATAAACTTTTCTAAATAAAAAATACCAAGTGTTCTTTTTATAGTTAAATTAAAAAAAAAACTCACCTTTCGTCGCTCTGAAAGAATCTTGCTGACATAGCTGGAGCTTTCTAAGCAATCTAAAGCCATTTTGAGTTGAGTTAGATGTGAACGCGATTATGCGGTTTGGTGAATGAGTGCCATACGAGGCCCCGTGCCTTTATATATGGTTCGATCGTGGGAAACGGCTCGTCGTGTGTCGATCTGAGTTCATCTTATTTACAAACACCTGTAGTGGAACAATCGGCTTGCTCTTCAAAACAATAATACGAGTGAGTACAAAAGTTCTACCGTGGGAACCGTTCATTCTGATTGGCTGATGGGATCTGGTCGCACGATAGCCGTACTAACCATTGTCTTATCGACTTCAATGGCGCGTGAAAAGCGTGAGACCAGTCCGCTCTGATTGGCTGAAGGCTTTTCGCCTGACTTCTCCTCTTTATTACTATACATCTTGGTCGACCAAACATTTGAACAAAAGCCCAATGACAGCTTATAAGTCGACTTCTGGCTTTTTAGACCCCCAAGAAAATAGAACACGCTCTAAGGATAAACCGTTCAACAGCTAATTTGATGGGTTTCACTTTTTAAATAACCTACAAGCGAATTAATTTCCTAAGTATTTTTGCATTGAGGAAATCAATGGCCTATTACTATTCCCATAGAAATGCACGTGCGATCATTTCAAAACCCGTTTAGTAGCCCTTTGTGTGCGATCTTAGCCGACTCTCATAGCGACGTAACGTTTAGAAAGCAAGATATTTGAATGACAAAAGACTTCGAAAAATTCCCACGAAAAATCTTTGTGAAATGTAAAACGAATCACTTCTAAAGTCACAATTAACACCACTTCCTATACAACTTGTTTGCTTAAGAAATAAAATAAGTTTTTAGACTACAAGATTCTCAAAGAAAACCTCTGAAAAAACGCTTAATAGGTTGGTCGAAATCCAAAGAAATCAAAATGCACTTAAAACTGATTGCTTTGATTTTGTATTCATCGGAAAGTAGTCATTGACAAAGTAACCGCATTCAAAAAAGTTTTTTACCTTTTTACACTATCAGTTGTGCGCCAGTTTAATTCACAAGTAACATTGATTTCCTTGTCTAGCTAAACAACGATCCACTGAATTTGTTTTATTAAACAAATTAGCAAATGAAAAAGTTCAAACAACATTTAGAGGTTTAAATTAGCTTACATTGTAATAAACTCTCTGTTAATTTGTTATTTTTTTGTTATTTTTGCTTGAAAGTAAGCGAAATATGGAAAGAAGGCAACACAGATAAAAAGCAATAGTACTCGGTCGGAAAATTATGTTTTTGTTTACGCCGTACGGAGTTATTATTTTCAAACACAAGTGGCTTTGTAAACGACTTAATCTCTTTCTTCTGCTGTGGTTGCTTTTGTTGTTTTTAGTATCGTTTTATTTTCTCGCCATGTTTCACAGAAATCTACTGCGAAAACTTAGTTGATCTAAAAAAGAAGCCGCAGCCTTTATCACTTGATCTTGCACCAAAAATGCTCTTTCGTGCGCGCATCGCATTTTATCAGATGTCATTGGATTGCAATGCTTATCGGCAATTTTCTTAGCAAAGACAGGAGACCTGCATTCTTATCTAAAGGGACGCGAAGGTGCATGGCAGCGTCTATTGTCAATGGCCATTCATCAAGATAGCGTCGTTTACAGGAATGCAGTGGCAATGGCAATAATTACTGTCTGTTTGGTTATGGATCACTGAGAACGACGCTTATGCATATGCAAAAATTGCAATCCATGTGCTGTCATCTAAGTCTACCTGTGAGATATTATTTGCAATCCTTTTCAACCGCCAGTCTATACGGAAATGCCTTTGCTAAAGCTTTTGTATGTAAAGTCGATGCTTACTGAAAGTAGGGCAGGATGTGATAACAGTAGCAGTTTTAGTTATAGTCTAATGGGATATGGAAACACCAGTAGTGTGGACAAAGATCATTTAGTAAATTAGTAATCCCCTAAAAACCGTCCTAAAGCAAAATGTCCACACACAATTCCTTAGACGCAAACATTAGTTGCTTATGCATATTTACATGCTAGTGAAGTTTTGATTATCGGATATGGAAATCTGACCTAATCCAAACTAAAGTCATTGAGTCTGGGTATCCTAGAAATTTGGTTGCTGTTGCCACAACGTCTTTTTCTGATAATGATTTGACACTAGGCAAGACTTTCGATTGCTTTATCGGAAAAATGTTCCGGTAATTTTAATCCCTCGTTGATCTTTTTACCATCAGTGCGGACCATCAGTGCGGTTATAAAACATTTAAAAAACAACATACTTTTACACATGCAATGATGAAATTCGTACTCCAATGCAAAAGGTTCTTTTTTCATTTGTCCATGAGCCCAGCACTAATTAAATAAAAGTGAGAAAAAACAGTAACTTTTTAATGTTGTTTAACGTATGGGAAGGTACAGAGCTTCCGAGTAAAGGAATAATATCAGCTTGGTTATGGAGTTGAAGTTTTGCATTAAATACCATGTTTGTACCGCGTTCATCGTCCTTAGAACTTCTTTAACTATGGTCTCTAACTTTAAGCGTGTAACATTACATTTCAATTGCAAAAGTTTATCTAAAGTATGATCTGYTACATGCATTGCAAATTAGTCAAGAAGACCTTGAATTCTTATCAAATTGCCAAACACAAATTAATTAAGTTCAAGTTCTGGAAACGATTGCAACTTTCCCTGTTTCTGTTTTAAGCCAGAAAACCTGGAGTTTAGGATCAGTAATTTTTATGCTAATGSCTACCAAAGCATCTTAATTTGACATTTCAGTAAGTTGTTTTGAAAAGATCAAATGAGCCACGCGTTCGAATGTTAACAGAAGGAGTGCTCGCTCGTGCATGAAGCCTAAAGTGTTTGTCARGACAAACGTCTATTGTACTTCTGATGGCGGCTTACCGACGGCGTCCTCTGTGATATGCAAGCAATATTGTGCCTGTGCAATCTTTATGCATAAGGCAATGCACGTGCAGTKTGTCTGTACCGTATTCACCGCCACCACATCTTTGTAAGTTTGCACCTGCATATTATCTCGTGGTCTAAGCACATGGGCGGGACTGAGTCAATTTTTGGCTGAGATCGTRAAATGATCAAGGGTGGCACTGAGAATAAATTCATGTGTGAGACAGGATCAATGTGGTCTCTTCAAAATGGGAAAAGTTCGTCTTTTAAGAAACCTTGTTTTTCTTGTAACAGAAAATTAATGGTAATCTGGCTTTTCAAAGTCATAAAATATTTGACTCAGGTTTAAGGAGGCTTTAACAAATGATCAAGTGTGGCACTGAAAATAAACTCATGTGTGAGACAGGATCAAAATGATGTGGTCTCTTCAAAATGTGAAAAGTTCATATTTTAAGAAACCTTGTTTTTCTTGTAACAAAATGAATGGGAGTATGGCTTTTCAAAGTATAAAATATTTTTTTATCTTTAAGAAGGCTTTAACAAATTAGTACTCCTTTTTTCCCAAAAATATTTCCTAAGCTCTAAAAATACGACTGTTCAAAGTCTGGATATATAAGCTATTATATTTCTTGGTTTTCTGTACTCGAGTATACTTCAGCACTTTTAAAAGATTCGTTCGAATCCGTGAATCTTAAATTGTCAATGCATGAGTTCTTCAGATTTCACCGTTAGAGTGTAACATCCCTGAATCTAGACTTAAACTGTTGTTTTTTTGAAAATGCAGTGTTACAGTTATTTTACTACAATCAATATGAACCTGAATTTTAGTTGTTTGAACTATACAAGCAATGTAATTACGATAGCTTTCACGGAGAGTAAATTAATTTGATAAAGTCTTCACTTTCAGGCTCCGAAACGTTCTTTGCTACAATTGAATACAGTTTCCTTCATTTGAAATCACATAATGACGTCTTTTTTTGCCGCAACTTATCAAAGACCCGCTATCTTACCAATATAAAAGCCCTACAAACGAACTAACACGTTAACTCGCTTCAAAGGCTAATTTTCGCCAACAAAAGAGCATTAAATAAAAGAAAATTCATTAATTTGAGCTGTTCTTTTATTACATCAAGCGCACGACCACGTAAAAGAGCTTTGAATCAGTTTTTAGCAGCTGTGCAGGTGTAACTATGTGATTCGTAAACACGAGGTTAAGGGGCTCATTAAATGATCAGCCTGTTTAGTCACTACAATCGTTTGCACGGTCGTAAAACCAAATTTACCTTTGTTCTGCACTCAATAAAGTACCCGTTTTGACCGTTAACGACTGGTGCATTACTGTTCTTCAGTTTTAATTTCCTTTACCATTAAAAGACATTTTGATAAATACTTTTTAGATTAAAGATAATTGATTTTGACTGGAAATCTTCTTAGAGCGAAATTGATGTAAAGCCCAATTTGATGTGTTTTTTGAACAAGAGAGATTTATCGAGAAAAGTCTTAGATTTTTACACTTAAAAGATCAACGCAGATGGTTTATCCTTTTTAAGCTTCTTAAACTTTATTTAAGCCTTAAAGTTAACACGTTTCGAGAGTATTTTTGTAGCTTCCGAAATCTTTTGAAAATCTTTAGCCAATTAAAGCGGAAGGTTACAAAGAGGATAAAATTTGACCAAAAAATCACCTTTTTCCTGTGTTTATCAAAACATCACAATCTTCCGTTAAATTTCCAACTCATACCAAAAATATAATAATATTTATAACAAGAATGGCCGTTATGTCTTTGGCATGGCATTTATGTCTTGGCATTCACGAACCACGTATAAGCGATTGAAAAAAAGTTTCCTTCAGTAATAATAGATAGTAACTCCCATTTTAAAATGCTATTTTCAGGTTCACTGGTTTATTGCGAAAGGCACTCTCAGAGCACTTTTTTCCTCTTTTTTTTTTTTTTTTTTTTTTTTTTGCTTTTTTGACTTTCGGAAGCAAGCTAGATTTTTTTTAAATGTTTTTTGTAAGAAGTTACCACAGCCCCTAAAGTCGAGGTTTTTTAAGCAATACTAGTTCAAAAACTACAAAACATTCAAAAGTGTCATAAAATGAAAGTTTTAATTTACGAATATCCCTTAACCACTTCAATRTGAATTTCAGATGGCCTTGAAAATCTTTAAAACAAACAAGTTCACAGACAGGTGCTTCATTGAAAACTTAAACTCGGACTCTGTTAAGGTGAGGTACATTGGGTCACACTAGTATATATACCAAAATGGCTGATAAAGTTCTACTTGTATTCA